GATCCTGACAATTATGTCTGGATCCACCCAGCTGCGTGAGTGACAGCTGGCTCTGCCTATCTAGAGGCATGGCTAGATCCTTCGGCAGCTTTGTGAATAACCCCCATAGTACTATGTGTACCCAGTTATGAATGAACAGGTTGTGATTTACATCACAGCCTGTTCATTCATGAATTTCTGAATGGGGAGTAGCACTCACTATGGAGGCTTCTCCCCATTCATAAACTGCTTGATAGTAAATATTTTACGATCAGCAGTTTCTGAATGGAATGGGAAGCCTCTGTACTGAGTGCTTCCCATTCATTGAGTGCTGAGGCTGCAGAAAACGAAATTGAGGATTTGGTGTCCTCAATTTCTTTTTCTATTTCAAAAGGGAAATGTCAGGGATTTGTTTAGACCCCAGATATTTCACTGTAGCCCCCCCAACAGTAAAACAAAAAAAATACAAAATTATTAAAAAAAATAAATAAAAAATGTAAAAAATTAAAATGTAAAACAAAATAAAATTATATAAAAAATGTGTAAAAGAAAAAACTAATTAAAAAAGAGCACAACCCCTCCCTCCCTCCCCCCACATACCACACACATATTGTGGTGCACACCATGCACATGCGCTGCAGTGCGTTGTTAGAACGCATCGCAGTGCATGATCTTTTTTATTTATTTTTTTCTTTTAAAAAAAAACATTAAATTAACTGTGGCAGCGCATGGCAAAGCTTTGTGACTCATTGCCATGCGTTGTGATACCTTGTGTTGCAATTAAATATACACCTGTATCATTTTATCACAACACAAACACCAAAACAATTTTTTACATAAGTCGATTATTTACAGTTTTGCATACCTTAATTTTTTTACCTTTTCGCAAAAAGGCGCAATTACAAATTTGCTAATATTTGTTATTTATTAACTCAATACAGTTTTATCTTTTAGATTTAGTCAGAAAATAATTTTTTTTGTGCACGGATACTGATTTTGGTGTGTTTTAACAATTGAATTGTGTATTTTTATCGGTTTAATATTAATTTGAGAAACATTTGCGCAATTATCGCAGGGCCTACAAATTTAGTATCACCATCTTTTTATTCTACCGGGCCTGCGATTTCAGAAAATATATGGTTTGGGGGGTCTTTTACAAACGCTAGCAACCCAGCAGTTGAAAATCAAATCAATAGGAAAAAATTGCAAAAATGGCTTGGCCAGCTGATTTGAAAAATGTTCCGGAGGGCTTGGCAGCGAAAGGGTTAAGGGCCTGTTCACACCACTTGCAGTGCGTACCTGGCCAATTCCAGCCAGAACGCACTGCATCGCATTGTGGCCGGCTCAATTTTTTGCCGGAGGGGGGGGGGAAGGCAGCAGGGTGCGTGGCGGGGCCATTGTTGTGAATGGCCCCGTTGCCACGCCCTCCGGCCGCAATGCGATTGCTCGCACAGGATCGCAGGGCACATTGTGCCTGCAGTCCGGTGCGGTTAAAATAGTGCTTTTAGCATTTTGACCACACTGGACCGCAGTGCCCTGCAATCCCATGCGGGCAATCGCATTGCAGCTGGAGGGTGTGGCAACGGCACCATTCACTACAATGGCCCACCGCGCCGCCTCCTGCCGGGCAAAAAAGTGTGCCGACCGCAGTGCGATGCAGTGCATTCCTGCCGGAATCGGGCCGGAACGCACTACATGTGGTGTGAACAGGCCCTACAACGGTACCAAGAACATGGCTGCAGGAGCAGCTGTGTTCTTGGTATAACCACTTCCGTACGTACATTTACGTGAACCCGCGGGAAGTGGTTAAAAAAAAACACACACACGTAATGAAACAAACACACTCCTTAAAAAAACCACACACATAGCTTCATTTAAAAAACACACACACACACTCTCACACAACTATTAAAAATAAAAATAGTTAATTAAAAAATGTCCCCCTTTCCTGCTTACCTGTTTTGCAGGAGGGGGGTTGCACCCCTGGGTCCAGTGTTGGGGATTATCTTGGTGGTCCAGTGCAGAATCAGTGTGATCTGTATCTCAGGCTGATGCAGACCATACTAATCAATCCCTGCCAATCAGCGGCGGCACCACGAGGGAGCGATCAGTATGATGTGCATCTGCAAGAGATGCACATCATACTGATTCCCTACTGGACCACCAGGGCATGATTTTCATTTAATATATTGCCGGTTCTGCAATATATTAAATGTACTGTGGGCACTTGTCAGTTTAAAAGATGGCCGACGCTACTCGTGGCGGCCATCTTTAAAAGCCTAATATGCAGTGGAGACCCTCTGGGGGCACCGGAAGCCCGCACAGCGCACCTCAGGTGAGGATTTGAAGTGTGCGGGCCCTGGTTTCCTCCGCTGATGCGGGGGCCCGGCCATCTCCACTTCCCAACGACCTGTACGGCCGATACTCATGTAAGGTTCCCGGGCCCCTGAGGCTGCCCGGGCCCCTTACATGAGTATCGGCAGTATCCCCCCTGATGGCGGCCCTGTCTGTGTTTGAACTCCCCGCCTCCTGGAGGTGGGGAGCCTGGTACTGGGTTGAACCTACAATACATAGTGTGGGTGTAGCATACTTTATTTGTGAGTACATAAGTTGTTTTTATCATTTTCAAAAATAAAGGGCTTTTTATTCTGAGTCCCTGTTTTCACTCTGCAGATGGATGGTTGATTGTGTGGAAGTACTAAGGAGGAGGTCCAGAGTTCTCTCCCTTTTGTTTAGGATACTAGTGCAGTGCAGTAAGATGTTATTTAAAGGGTCATACGGCAGCGGGTTAGTTGCTTGCCAAAAGGGTTGCACAGAGGATGACGTGTTTGGTGAAAGATCACGTGGTCACTTTTTTATTTTAAGTGGAATTATTCATAACTAAGGACACTTTATATTTAATAATATTGGACACTTAGGGGGGTTATTCACTAAAGACCCGAAGGATTAAGCCGAAGCTTCAGCCAATACTTTGGTTCACTTCAGCCGAACTTTAGGTCTGGTAGGAATATTGTTGGAGTCCACCCGCTGGCTGATTGACAGCTGGCTCTGCCTCTCTAGAGCCAGCTGTGCCCACCCGTCCCCATCAGTCACTCCAGTCAGTGATGGAGGAAGCGAGAGGGGGAATCCCTATGGGGAACAGTGACTGACAGTCACCGCTCTTTGCAGGGAGAAGATCGGGGTGGGGGATGAGTTCTCAATTTATAGAGCCAATGTGTGACAGCTTCAATGTCACACATCGGCTCTAATTATAGGGAAGAGTGTGTTTCCACTCTCCCCATAATTATCCTTTAAATTCATGGTCAGTCAAGAAGGTCCCCCTTACATTGCTTTTTAGTGGAGAAAAGCAAACTCACATTAGTGGTCAGTGCATATTGGTTTTCTTATGTTTGTGATTACTGGAGAAGGTTGACTTTATTGTAGTAAGTGTGATCAGTGAAGAGGGGACTTCTTGCATTGGTGGTCGGTGAAGAAGCCCCACCGATATTGCTGCAAAGTGGAGAAGGAGCCCCTTATTCTGATGGACAGTAGAGAAGGGTCCCTTTTCATTGGTGATCAGTGAAGAAGGGTCACCACACAATGACTTTCTAATGTTTGTGGTTAGTGGAGAATGCAAACTTTATATAAGTGTGAGAAGAAGTGTCCCCTTACATTGGTGATCACTGGAAAATGGTTCTCGTTTGTTTTCTGTAAGTGGAGAAGGGCTCCATTATGTATGTGGTTAATATGGAAGGGCCTCCTTACATTGGTGTATAGAGGATAAGAGTCCCATTACATTGCTGGTCTGTGAAGAAGTTCCTCCATACATTGGTGGGGCAGTGGAAAACTCCAGAATGATTATTGGTGTTCCTGGTTATTTATATGTGGTGAAGCAGGCAGCTGAAACAGATGTTTGTATCTGGTAGAGCCACAGAAGATAAGAGCCACTGCTGAAACCACTGCCTCTGTCTCTGAGTGACATCAGTGGGAGATCAAGCCAATCACTTAGTAAGCTAAGACACTGACCCAGCACAAGTATCCAGATCAGAAGTTCAAGTTGACCTTCAGTGACTTGGAACATTTGGAACCGGGAGGCAGCCAGAAAAATGGCAATGGCAGCCTCTGTATTTCTCTTAGAACAGGTTTACTTTAAAGTGCCTCTAGACCTAACGTCCATAAATGGTAGTACATTACGGTAGGTTTCAATATATATTAATATATAAACGTTGGAAGGAGATTCTGAGGATGGAAGACATTTAGCCCTAAAATTGCATAGCTGGAAATGTTGTGGGGATGCCCACTGACACTCTGCAGAATGAACTGGCTGTCACATGAGACTGGAGACACTCCTGAGATGGTTCCATTTATTTCTATGGAACATCACTAGAAAGGTGCAGTCAGCCAGGACCGATTATTGCAACAATGGAGGTAAACAAAGCTGTGAAACAAAACTCACAGGAGGACAATAAAAGAGTTGGGCATTATGGCACGGACATCTCACATCTGCAATTCTTCTAAGACACATAAGAACTCCATCTATAACTAAAATACCTGATTTAGGTGCACAGGTCCTTTAAATGTATTTTCATTTGGAACTCTGGGCATTTAATACATCATACAAATTGTGCCCCCATCTCACCTCATACAGAATGTATTGCTGGTTTTGTATAGGGAATGAACTAAAAGAGTAAGATTTACCAGCGCTCCAATCTTGCAATTCAAAACTCAACATATGATGGCATATTACAGAAATATTCGGATGAAGTGGCAACGTGGGCCATTCCCAAAATGTTTATGTCAATAAATATATGGGCTCAGGCAATGGGAATGGCATTGTCTCCTATACATTTAATAGGATACAGCTGGGCAAAACAGAACTGAGAGCTTAATGACACCACACAATTCCAAGTAGAAGCAGCACAAGGAAGACATTCAATTCATAAAAAATAATGGTAAAACCTCTCATACAATGAAAGGATAGAAAAACTAGGTATATTCAGTATTACTCTTGCGAGATCCATGAACACCAACTACAAAAAATATACATGCTGAAAGACTTTATTAGAAACTTGCTGACAAGCACAGCTACAGCTATATTATTATAGGATCACAGAAAATGTAAGACCCTCAGGAATACATGTCACACAGATAGTAAAAGGAATATAGATGGAAAGTAGAGTGGTTGGATCCTCATGGGTGGCACACAGCTTAGCTGCTCTCTTCCAGGCTATGCTTGTCAAACAGGTACTCGCCCATGCCATTCTGGGGCACCCCAAGGCGCTTCAGGTTGGTGATGTAATCTCCAAAACGCTTAATATCCTTCACTTGTTCCTCCAGATATTCAGATTCCAAGAAGTCACACAGCTGAAAAACAAGTTTTAGAATTTAGTCATGCATTCCAGGCACTCAGACTGCAAGGAAACACAAGATATAAGATAATATAAATAAATTGTTGAACATTGTTTCTTTCCTCCTTCTGCATCAATGAAACTACTTATAGTTCCAGCATCATGTTCTGTGATCTGCCATATTGATAATTTTGTTAAATGCCCTTTGAATAAAGATGAAGAAAGCTAAAGTTGCAACCATTTAGATTTCAATTGTCCTTTAAACGATGCAGATTGCAAGATTAAACAAATCATCAGTTTGTTGTACAGGTGTCCATGATGACTAATAAATGTCAAACAGTTTTTCAGACTGATTTATATACCACCAAACGTGGTATATAAGTTTGAAAATCAGTTCGTCATCTATTCTTTCTGGACACTTTAATACAACATATGAGCGCAGAAGTCATAGAAGTGTTTTATACAGTACTGTATATCTCTTATTGTGGGATAACAAGGGGTATCCATTCCTGGGAAGATTACAGCTGTCACTTTACAGTATAAATTTAAACTTTAGTTCACCAAGCTTGACTTATTTAATTCTTTTAAATTAATCATATTGGTTTTGCTATGGGAAACATCTCAATTCTCCTATTCCTCTGATTTCTATATTTATGTTCCATGCAATCATTTTTATGCTAAAATGACTATAGAGTATAAAACAAAGTCACGCATGTATGCCATATGTATATAATGTACTATAATATATTTAATCCTTTCTGTGTAACATAAAGTTTTGTAGTCTGGGAAATATGTTCTCAAGCTAGCTGTGCACAAAGGAGACAGTCATTATGTTGACTGATGCTCAAAGAGTCACTAATGTAATTTGTTCGTAGTGCTCAGGTTAGCCTATATTTTCTGCTCACAAAATGACTTTCTGCATTGCTTGATAATTCCAGTTAAAAAAAAATCACATCTCTATTGTCATATGTATTTATAGACCACTCTTTGGCTGATACGGTGTATCATCCCAACCCCTCCGTCACCTCCAGGGCACATTCAAGTCTAGTCTAAAAAGGTCAGCACAGAAAACTTTAGATGCAAATATGGCTCTTTATTTAATATAGTCCATCATTTTAAAACAAGAACAGATAAGTGGTACAGCAATTTCCACATTTGGACTTGAAAATGGTTGTAAGGAACCAAAACAATGAATTAAGATGTAAGGAGTATTTTTTTTCTGTACCTTTTATCTGCTATTGATTGGAGATGATGGAATGTATGCAATAAAGAGCTATATTTGCATTTAAGCCTAAGGATGTGAAGCAGATACTTACATGAGGGTCAACTTTGTCAGTGGCTAGCTTGTGCAGGTCCAGAAGAGCATGGTTCACAGTCTTCTCCAGCTGCAAAGCAGCCTGCATGGCATCCAGGGTGTTACCCCACTCATCACGCTCTGGTTTCTGAAGTGAAGAGTTTTTAAAGTTAAAATGTTTATTGAATAGTTTCTCCAGGGTAATATACAGTAAAGGATATTTATTTTCAGCAAATTACCTACGGTAAACAGAAAACCCCCAGGAATTGAATTTTCCACTCATGTTATTGGGCCATGTCTATGTCTAGTGGTAAGCAGAAGACCATTCCATTCTGCACGTAGGAGGTGGCAAGGAAGTGAGTGGAATCCATGTGAAGTTCCAATACAAAAGGCAGCAGGTAGAACTTGAGTATATTCAACTAAGTCCTGCACTTTTCTTAGGGATCCACCAGCCACTGGCAGAAACATAAATCTCAAATAACATAGTAGCTTCTAGATAGTGTCAAGTAGCAATTGACTATAATTGCTGTCTCTCCACAAAGTCAGAAAAGGTAAAGATATATGGCCAGTGAATACATACATTTTCTCTTGCCATCTGTACATCTGAACAAATCCCCATATGCTCTCAGAATATAACTGGAGCTAGAATGTTTCTGAATTAGGAAAAACTCACCATTGCTACAAAATGGACCAGACCCCTGGAAACTACTCCTGGACACTTCCATATTAACTATACAACATATGTGCAATGAGAGGAGCCTGTTTGATCACCTGATCCCTGCTAATCACTGAAAAGGGCACATTACGTAACATAAAATTTCCCATGCCAGTGAAAATATGTTCTTTTCTCAAACATCAGAATCTGTAGGTCCAAAGCTACAGGTCATTCTTACCTTGATGTCTTGCAGGACAATGCGACCCCCACGCTTGTTTTGATATTTCATGAACTTCTCGGCATGCTCCCTCTCCTCGTGGCTATGTTTCTTGAAGAACTCTGCCACATGGTGAAGTGCGACATCGTCACGATCAAAAAAGAAAGACTGGAGGGAGGAAAGGAGATGGAGGTTTAATGTTAAAAATGTACCAGTAAAACCAGTTTTCACAGATATACCAGTAAAAAAAAAGCTCATCAATCAGCATTATGTATTACTTTATAAAATCTTATATCTGAGGAGCTAAATTTATCACAGACTCCCCTCAATATTCATAAACTCTATCTGCTCTCATAAGATGGCATAGAGACTTAGCTAAGGAGCTTCCATATTTCATACTCTTCCTCATCAGCCTGAACAATTCACTATTTGTCTAAAAAAATATACAGTATCTGAAATGTATTACTCAACAAAAAACAATGGTTTGCTTTTTAAATGCTCCACTTGCCAGAGGAAATATCTGAACATAGGAGCGTATATGTAATTTAGACATTAGCTAAGATGGGAAGAAGATAAGGTTGGTTCCTATATGTGTGCATTTCATTGTTCTCTTTAAGAGACATGTCTGTCTATTGCCACATATCCGTACAAAATTGTAGCTGAACTGCAAGCAACCATTAACCTGAAATAGAGAAGTGCAGAGGTCCTGGCATGAGTGAAGCATCATGGGGAAATTATTTTAGATGTCACAGGTGCTCTTTTGGTAATTGCTGACTACTAGCAAAGTGTTGCAGAAATGATTATATAATGTTAAGAAATATTCACATTATATTATGGAGTGGATATCAAGCCAGATGACAATGGCTTCTGCCATTTGCCAACAGGCCCTTGCACAAGCATGCTCCCAGATCTTCTATGTATTGTTAGAGATTCTGCAAGCCACATCTCAACACAGCATCTTCCTAGTAAAAGATGTTGTTCTGTGTTAAAAGGTGACAAATGGCCCAGTCCTGCTAGATTAAGTATATGCAATGCTCTAAGCCCTCATTTAAATCTCTTCGATGCGGGAGTGCAAGCGATGCTCCCCAACGCACCTAGTCATCGCATGTACGTTGCATTGCACCACATCGCATGGTAAGCTATTACCATGCATTGTGGTATGATGCAATTATTTTAAAAAAGAGCATGTACTTCTTCAAGTGCGATTTAGCTGGTAGGCAGCCTATTTAAATGCATGCCAAGAGCACTGTTCAACGCAACTGCAATGTCACATTGCAGAGGTTGCAACAGAGGCTTAGATACATTGTCAGAGTAAGCACCAAACATTAATGAAATTATTATTTAAAGTGACACTAAACTCAGGAGTTAAATTTTAAAAATACATGCAAGTACCTTAACTATTAACAAAAATGTAGCTTATTTGTAGATTACTCAGCTGTAGATCCTCAAATCATCTCTGAATTGGTGCTGACACTGTCCTTTCTTCTGGAGGATGGCTACTTTTGTTACCCATGGTCCATGTGTGTGATGTAAAGTAATCACCGCTCCGAGCTTGCTCCTGTGATGGACTACAATCTCATGTTTAGTTAACCAATTTGTATTGAGATAGCAGTCAATCACGGGAGTGAGCTTGGAGCGGTGTCTACTTTACAATACACAGGGACCATGGGGAAGAAAAGTAGCCACTCTCCAGATGGAAGGACAGTGTAATCATGTAATCATGAATTCAGAGATGATTTGATGATCTACAGCCGATTAATACACAAATAAGATACATTTTTGTTAATAGGTATTTGAATGCATTTTTAAGATTTAACTCCTGAGTTTAGTGTCACTTTAACTTTATTGTCTTTGTATCTTTGAATCTTCAATTGGTGAAAACAGGACTAAAATACTTGCAGAAAGTGCTTGTATTGTTTTTTTTTTTTTTTTTACATAATTTGTTTTTAAAAGACAAGGATCTTAGGACACACAGGGGGGATTTATCAAAACTGGGGCAGACAAAATCTGGGACAGTTGTCTATGGCAACCAATCAGCTTCTTTCTTCAGTTTGTTCACTTAAACTTTTAAAATGAAAGGTGGATGCTGATTGGTTGTCATGCACAGCTGCTCCAGATTTTGTCTGATCCAGTTTTGCTAAATTCCCTTCACAGTATATCATGTTATAGTCAAATTCAAAAATATGCATTCAAACATGAATGTCATTTTGCTAGATGATAAGTCTTATAGTGTCATAAATGCTGTAGCAAACAACATTGACTTTAATAAGTTACATTAAATACAACAAAATCTAGGCATAAGGAAATGGCAGTAAGAAATATATCTTATATAAAGTATCATAATAATACTCACTATAGAGCTGTAGGTGTAGGAGGCGTACAGCTCCAAGTTCACCATACGGTTGATGGCAGCCTCGCAATCAATGGAGGTAGGAGTGAGGAGCAGAGGGGTGCATTACCTTGCTGTGTTTGTGTGTTTGTGGTGACACACAGCTTTCTAGCAGACACAAGGGTGGTTCGATAGGAACCTGCAAGGAAAAGGAGTCACCCTACAACAGGATATAAGGGTTAGTGCTCAATGGACCAGCTGATTCTACAGGAAACTAAAACTTTTAAACATCATCCATTGTAAGTAAATTCATCAGCATTTGAAAAAGCTTAAAAACATTTTAACTTTTATATCACTTTAATATAGCATGCTAATATCTATCTATCTATCTATCTATCTATCTATCTATCTATCTATCTATCTATCTATCTTGCCAGTGGCAGAAAATTTAGAAACTAGGACTTCAGTGAGAAGTGGGTGAGTTTTGAGGTTAATGTTCGAGTTACAAGGTGTGTCCGAGTTAGAATTAAGGCTATAGGGAAGGTTAGTGTATGGAGGTAAGGAGTATGGAGGTAAAAGGAAGGGTTAGCATCAAACTCAGTTTTACAGTGTTACAGAAAGGGCAAGTGTGAGGGTTAGTGTTATCATTACAGCAAGGAAAAGTGTGAGGGTTAGTGTAAGAGTTACAGAAAGAGTTAGGGGTCTATTCACAAAGCTGCCGTAGTGTGAAATTTAGGATAACAGTGTAGACATGGGTGAAAAAGTCAAGAGTCCTTAAATTTTTCAATTGCAAAGGCAAAACAGCCAACGCTTTTCAGGGGCAACAATCCTCCCCCCTTCTCAGGGTTTGAAACAATAATGTGGGGACTTTAAAAAACTCAAAGGACTGAACCAAAGAAATCTCTCTGCCTTACGAAAGTCAGTGAGCTTGCTTGGAAAACCTTGGTACATTTGGACTTTTGAATGAGCATTTAGATCCTAGCACCCCATTCACATCTAGGCAACAACAGTTTTTGTGTATCAAGAGAACACAGCAGATGTCCAGAAACTGTCCAGAGAGTTTGATAGTGACCTAGCCTTTGATTAAAGAAACCAACAAAAAAAAGAATATTGCCCAATCACTGGTGACTCTGTGCTCTGTGTATGGAAATGGCTAATCCCTAGTGGACAGGTAGAAATTAAACCATTATAGGAGAACTGGGATTAAGAATTGGAAAAGCTCTAATATCACTCATTATATAGGTATGGGGAAAAAAGATATTCTTCATACATTTCTTTACCCAGTAGAAGCAGTTGGGATACTCGGCTCTGTGCTGCCTTGTAACATGTAACAGGAAATAAATAATGAAGGAGTGAATTCTACAATATATTGTGTAATCAGTTACAATCCTTCCTACTATACCAGTATCCTAGTTTAGGATTATTCTGCATGCTATGTTCCAAGTACTACACAGATGACAACATATTACTTATATGCTGAGTCATGGAAACAAATTTCTGCTTAGTCACAGGACAAAGAAACACACACAGGTCAAATGATCACTCATCAATTTCTGCCTGCAGTAAAAGAAATGTGGAAAAGTACAGATTGTTCAGTTGATTTATTATTCTGTTATCTCTAAATGTTACAGTGAGAAAACAGCACAGTGACAAAGTCAACATTCCTTGTCCACACTGATTATACACAATTAAACTCAGATCACACATCCTCAATGCTCCATTCCCTGAAAATCGGAGATCAGTGTCATGCTGGCCACACATCTTACAATTGCATTCTCAATATAGTTTAATAATTCTCTGTAATGCTGCCAAACAGTTGATTTGTCATTTTTTTAAGGCAAAAGGAGTGGGAATGGTTATAATGTGATTGCCACGTGTGGTCACCTAACAATACAAATATCGGTTAAATGTTCTACATGCTATCCTATAGTTAAAGTAAGAGGAGAATACAGGTAAAAAATGCTGGTTCTATTTCCCTCAAAGTTTTGGATTGAGATTCATATTGAACGTTCATGATAAAAATGTAAGATAAGCATTAGCTTAGTGTGTTACGGATAAAAATGGTTTGTTAAGTATAAAGTCAGGCCTGGAACAGCAGACGGAGTCGTCTGTGGAAGGCCAACATGACAGGGTCTTGGAGAGGCTAATTTCCTGTTTCTTGTCACTGCAGCCGGGCAGGGTATTAGGGTCCTTGAGGTGCAACATATTCTCTTGAGGTTTAAGTGACAGTGGGGAGCTGTCTTTTTTATGGCATCCCTGTCTTAACGGGTCCATCATTAGTTACTCAGTATCTGATGTTAGATTACAAGTCCCTGAGGCGGTGTTGTGCGGCTGGGGGCCATGTGGGCAGATACTGAGTATTTTGGTGGTAGATATCACATCAAGAACCTTAACTCCCGTGGTCAGTTAATTTGTTAAAATTGTTAATTTGACTTTGGTAGTACTGGTGCCACTAAAATCCAAGACCAGTGTCATGTCATCCATAACAAAGGGTTAATATCTGAGTTGAGTTGTTTGGGTATTGGACTACTAGGAGCCATATGCAGTGCCCTTGTCAAGACATATATAGCAATATGGCAGCTTGTACTACCGCACATGCACAGGAACTTGCCACCATATTTCCGACATCATAATTTCTGACATCACAATATGGTGGCGAGTTCCTGCGCATGTGCAATAGTGCCAGTATAGACCGATCACTAACATAGATGCATGGGATCTTACTGCTGTATTGATGGCAGCCTTGAGGAAGCACGCATGCACATGAAATAGTTCTCATCACAGTGCTGAGGTGCGATGGGGGTTGTGAGCACTGCTGGCAGGTGGTGGTGGTAGGGTACTGTGCTGGGGGGGGGGGGGGGGGGGGGGGTGAGAGGATTTGTGGCAGCAGCAGTGTTAAGAGATGGGGAGGAAGTTGCACTGTACAGTGGTTAAAGTGGGCCTCATCAGCGTACGTTACAACATTCTCCCTCTCCGCCCCCACCTACATCACCACGGTACCTGTCACACTGAAACACTCCCACCCTCTAACCACTGGGTCCATAAATACAATTTTAAGTACCAATTTGGAACTGCCCAGAGTAACTGTATAATGAAATGGTAAACTCCTGTAGGCATCATTTTTGCAGTGCCCAGGCACAGGGCAGCATTAGGATTATCAAACTTCACATAGTTTTCATGTTGTTACTGGTCAGTTTTGGTGTTTCAGAAAAACATCTAGAAATAGATATAGTAATAAAGAAAATATACTCACCTGATCCTCGGTCCTCCTTGGCTGCTAGATTGCACCCCACACTTCCCTTACTGGGCTCTGGCGGTCTAGGGACTGACAGCGTCATTATGTCTAATGCAGCTGTATTACACATGAAGACGTTTAGTGACATTCTACCACCAGAGCAGAGGGGGAGAGAGGTGAGCAGGTCAGTATATTTTCTTTATTTTAGTCCCTAGAACAAAATAAAACAAAACAAGCAGTTAACCCTTGCAGCGTGGGGGTAGCCCCACTGCAGGGGTTAATGTTTACATTTCCTGGAGATCTTCTTTAAATAACGGCATTCCCTGATGACAGTAGAAGAACACAGTAGGACAGTCTGTTAATAGAAAGCTAAAATTTGCCATTTCAATAAATTGCTGCTGGAAAGTAACATGGCATCGTTCTTACCAGATTAAGCTCTTGCCTATTGACTTATACTTATTTATTATAGGTATTTTGCTAGCACCATCGATTTATACAACACTTTCACATCAGTCCCTGCCCACAAGGAGCTTACAATCTAAGGTCCATATCTCACATAGGTACATACGAGGGTTTATTTAGCCAGCAGCCAATCAACCTACCAGTATGTCTTTGGAGTGTGGGAGAAAACCTACGCAAGCACAGGCAGTACATGCAAGCAGGGCCGGCCTTAGGCCTTTAGGCGCCCTGTGCGAGAAAGCTTTACAGCGCCCCTCAGTGGCCACACCCTTTAGTGGCCACGCCCCCGTAACCACACCCATTTCCCCCAATATATGCACCATTTAAAGACTCCTATTTTGTTAAGCCGCAAAGAAACATATTAAAAAGTGTGATAAAAATAAAACTTTTATTCAAAGGTATTAAACTTGTCGGCACAATAGAAGTATTCTTATCAAATAAAACAACAGAAGGTAAACAATAAATGTCAAAATACAATAGAGTCTATAAAAATAAAGTGTCAGGTCGTCATGCTGACCCCTTTTTTCAAGTAAGTGCAAGAATATGGCAATATACTTACCTTATGTCCAACACTAACATTTTAAAACCCAGTTATTGTATTGTGTAGTTAAAATTAGGTAGCCATGCTGATCATCAGGCTATAAACATTCCTGCTCACCCTAGTCCCTTTGTGGTATGAAGTAAATTAAAGGACTATAGTCGGTCTGCAAGGTAAACTGTTGATCCCACAGGTATGTTCTCCATTTTTCTGTTTCCCAAACATATGCTAGGGCATCTTTTTCTAGAGTAGAATGCTTTCATTCTGAATGAATTCTGCTAAATGAATAATTGACCAGGTTACTACAGTGTATCTCTGTAGAGGCCACATATTATGTCTAAAGTTGTCATAATCACCATTCACTTAACAGACATGTAATAAAGCTCTGGTTTGCTGCAAATGAAACATGTATCTCTGTGCAGGTATTTTTAATTCCCCCTCAGGGGTACCTTGTCAGTCTCTTTCATTAGATGTAACTCATTTTTGCAGAGCTAAAACACCTCTTAACAACATCTCTCTCCTTTCCATCCACGTAGGCATCTGCTTCAGTCCTTACTACCCATAATTATCATAGTCATCCTTGCCCAACGATTCACATGTTTGTTTTCACATGATCATTGGGCACTATCACCATGTATGTTTGGATCGAGGTTTGTGACCTCAGAAGACATCCTCTAGACTTTGAATGGATCTTCCTGTCAGTCTTCATGTGCTTCAGAACCGGGGCCAGCATAGGTTGACTGCTGACAGCATACAGTATATATGCAAGGCCAACCAATTCAACTAAGTCATATTAAACTAAGTCATAACTAATATATCCATGCACTTGGACATGTGTATGATTTGGTAGAAACTAATAAGTGTTGTATG